CCAAGGAGCTTTGAATGCAAATGACCAGTCAGTCAGCTACGGTCCAGTTCTTTGGGATGTCCTCAATAAAATTGCTGGCGAGGTTGGCGCCAACTATCTGATTGGTACATCCCCCTGTCTGGCCAAGTGGCGGTAATAACTTACACGTTTGTTTCAAAAGGCCTGTCTCTCCTTGATCCTAACAATCCAAATGTCCCGGTCGAGGCAGGTGTGTAATTATAAACAAGGTTGTGCCATCAGTTGTACGGCAATCTGATGGACAGTTGCAGCCGCAGTTCAGGAGACATTGGGCAATAATTTGGATGGGTTTCTTTTAGGAAATGTATGCTGTTTGTTTGTTTCAACGAACCTCGCTCACCGTGATTGTGCTGTATTCGACAGGAACCAGATCTTTACACTTCTCACGGGGATCGGCCAAACATCCAAAACTACACGACGGATAATTATATCGACGTGAGGAAGTTATGAGCGAGCGAAATTTGGACTGTTGGCTAAAACCTTTTTGAAGGATTTTCGAACTGCTGCAAGCCACTTGACTAACACCTCGGCAGGTGACATTTTAGCACGGCCTGTTTTGGGAGGTCCCACTATATGTTGTGCATGGGTGAGTCGACGACTTAAAATATTCGAATGCATTAACCCTTAATTCACGTCTACGAAGAATCTTGATGCTTTGTTAAAGGGAGGATATTCTACCGCATTTGATGATGTCCTGAAGTATATCTCGTAAGTGTCCTGCATGGCGCCACGATTTCTAAAGAGATCTGAGATCCGTTAGTCTTCAGCACTACCCTCAAAACAACTGTTTTGGCAGCTACCAGTACGAGATCCCTTACTACGTGCAACATCCAAATGGTAAGTTTTACATTTGACTTCGTTGAATGTTTTGGTAAAAGACTTATAGTGGTCAATCTTACTGCTTGGGAGCAGCCGGGTATCGACATCGTAAACGCGAATACTTCGTCGCGACGACCACAACTCATTATGACGGAATTTAACTCGGCGTCATGTGGAGGCATCCCAGGAATTTCCAACACATTCGCTGTCGGTTCTCTCTGGACAGTAGATTATGCACTCCAACTGGCATCAGTGGGGTACAGTGCAGCCTACATCCATACAAGGGAACAAGGGATTTCATACAACCTGTTTGACCCAAGCCCTGGATCTTGGACCACCAATCCTCCCTACTACGCCCTGCTGGCAGTGGCTGAAGCGCTACAATCCAAAAATGGCAGCAAAGTGGTAGACCTTGATATAATGGGATCGAGGACCGACTTGAATGCCACCGTCAGCGGATACGCCGTATATGATGCCATCGACTCGAGTGTCCAACAATTCGTTCTCTTCAACTATTACAACACAACTTCGACCTCTGCGCCCTCCGCTTCGTTCTCCCTTCCTTCCTCGTCGTTCAAGTCGAGCTCAAGCAATGCTATCACCGTGAAATACCTGACTGCTGTCAGCATGGCAGAAACCATGAACATTTCTTGGGGTGGTCAAACGCTCAGAGGTGTGGGGGATGGAAAGCTTGTCAAAGCTGCGGATTCGTGGGCCGCCGCTAATGTGCAGATCGACTGTACCAAGGGGTGCACTGTCAACGTCCCTGCACCTGGGATGGCGGTCGTGTTTGCCGGTGCGGCACCAGTCCAGAATAACGCAACCAACACCAACACTACCACTGGTGCTGCCAAACCGTCGAGCGACGCAACCAGCACAGTACTCGCTCTGTCTATAGTACCGATGGCAAAGAGCCTCGTTCCTCTTTGTGTATATGCTACGTACCTCAGCCACGTCGTGAACTCAAGCATCTCCTTACAGACTCGACTCCAGTTTCCATCAAGTCTCCATGGGATCAAAACCCGGGACGACAATGAGTTTTTGTAGGTTAGTCCGAATTAGGAGGGTCATGCGCGACGATTGGCTGCAAGCCTGCAATGACGTTTTAAGGCAACCACAGGGGATTCAGGATGACAGTAGTGAGTCGTGTTATGTTTTGGAGAATATTTGTATAAACAACTGAACGGGGATTAAGAAAGCTTCTTCCCTCATGAATGAATGAGCACCCGATGATTCATGGTGGTCGAACATTTGGTTGACCTGGATCAACTTGAGGGCATACATCACGTGGGCTGTAGTTTGAGTGTCCTCATCGTACAACTGTGAGTCTAGTATTGCGGTAACATTGCGTCCTACTGCATTCCAAACTGTCCGATCGCCCTAACAAATTTGGATGTCTAGGTCGCTTTGAGCGATGAACACTGCCGACATGGATGATAGCGTTCTGGATAGCATCAACTCTCTCCCAAGCGAAATTCTTTGCAAAATTTTTCTGGATTATCTCCCCGAAGGAGGCTCCGAGGTATTGGTGGGAAGTCTCAGCGGGACAACAATCACTCTATCCCACGTGTGCTCACGTTGGAGGGAAGTCATCTTGGTCGCTCCTCGTTTATGGAGCCAGCTATTCCTGAATCTCGACGATGAGAGGTTCCAGGAGAAACATTCGTGGGAACAGGTCGTTCAATTCGTTCTGAATTGGTTTAGTAAGGCTGGGGAATGCCCTCTCAAACTTCGATTTAACTGTCAATCCGTGTCTGTGGGTGGAAGGGAAATCACAGAAGAAGGCTACTTGAATCACCTCCTGCCCCCTCTTATGGCGCGCATTCGAGATCTTGAACTTGATCTTCGCCGACTACCACAGCATCTTTCCGTGCTTCCTCCCAACAAATTCCAGCAGCTTGAATCCATTGTACTTCACAATGGATATCTAAAAACCAATTCCGTTGAAATGATGTGGAATCCGGATGATGAGCCACTCACCATTTTTGAGAACACCCCGCGACTACAACGTCTCGCTATGTTTTTCCCACTGTTCGGGAAGCGTCTCAATAGCGTCTTGATACCTTGGTTTCAAATGACTTCCCTCATCATCTCGAGTTACATACACCCCCCAGTTTTGGATGAACTCTTGTCAAAATGCGTCAATCTCGTATGTGGAGTTTTCTACATCATTGGTGACGCAGACTGTTCCCTTATTCCCTCTCGTCCAAAAACCACACTGGCGCATCTCGTGGAATTGACCATAGTGTGCTACACATCGATCCAATCGGTTTTAACTCCAGCCGTTCTACGAAACTTCCATCTACCCAAGCTACAGACCCTTCGACTCGGCCCGTTGAGCCTGGAAGCAACATCTTTGGAAGACAAAGTATACCTTTTCCCACATTTATCCCTCATTCGTCGCTTGTCCTTCCAGTCCCATATGCGAAGTTGGTTTGAATGCGACCATTCACTTGCGATTGAGCTCCTTAAATTTGCTGGAAATGTAGAGGATTTCGACATTTCTTCAACCAATGATTATTCAACAATAATGAAGGCCTTGATAATCTCGGATGGGGTTGATATTATTCTACCCAAGCTCAAATCAATTCGTATTCACTTCCCAGATCCGTTCAATGTGGATCAATTACGGAAAATTTCCATACCAACTCTTGTAAAGATGGTCGACTCCAGATGGCACCCACAACAGGCTACCCATCTCGAGAAAATTAGTGTTTTTTTGACCCAGTCAACTGTCACAAAGTCTCTGGTCAGGATGTTGAAGAACTCTCTGGAGGATGGACTTCAAGGGTATGTATCGAGGGGATTGATTCTCCATGTTGTCGTTTCGGGCGCCGGAGAAGTTATCTGGCAGGACCGTCTTCCACATGACGAGAATTATTGGAAAGAGGGAATGGATTGTATGCGACTCCTGGAAACGACGTAGTAGGTATTAAATGACGAAGGCATTTAAGTACTCAAAATTTGAAGAAATGTTTGGAGATTGCACTTGCGGATGTAATCATTGACATCGACGCAACATCGACGTACCGACTCGGATGAGCTGAGCTGGCACGCTTGATCAACTTCGTCAGTGCTAGATTCGTGATTTTCACGCCTAGGCTGCGAGGAAGATTCGTTCCGATGGTGACCCCCCTCAGTTCGATGTTGCATAGATAGTAGCTGAAGAAATGGGGAGAACAGTCTATCGTGAAGCCTAGCTGCACACCGCCGGCCCCGGACCTTGGTGACGTAGGCTTGTAGCTGCACAGCTTGTGAACTTGTACCTCTTTATTTTGGTCTTGAGGATCCCACGTCGCGTCATCTGAATGTTCAGAAGAAAAGTTATTATATTCATTTGATGGTTTATAAAAACGTGGGCATGGCATTGAACCCATTGTATTTAATGTAGGCCCATCCTGCATGGGGAAGGAATGGTGTGAAAGCCCGAAAGGGTGGTAGAGTGGGTGAAGAATGAAGGGGAGGAAGGGGTGAAGAGGAGGAAAGACGAGTAAATGGGGGCAGAGGGACGATGGGCATCATTGGGAAGCCAGAAGTTGGGGTAAGACTTGAAAGAAGACGACGAAGAAGATGCTAAGCGGCAGCCGACGATTATTGAGCGACAGTTAGAGCGGCCAACATAAAGGGACGGAGGAGAAGATTGTGAGGGCGTAGACAATCCTTCCCCTTTATAGGTCGCTATCAAATTGCGTTATAAAAAGACTCTGTGATTTCTTGTCGACGTGCGACCTTGTGGGACTCGGGATTCCGACGTTCTCAGGGATTCCAGATGACCGCCGATGCTTCTGGTGAATTTGGCGGGATGGGTGCAAGGTAGACATGACCATGGGAGAATCACCGCACGCGGCGATCGCCTCTAGGTGTCGCAGTCATCGAGCCGAATCTGACGACGGGGACCGACTGGCTATTATATTGATGCCCATTTCTAGGGGAATGACCGCAGAACGGGTAGGAAACTGCAGGAGAGTACTGCGATGGAAAGTCTGGTAAAATTTGTCACGAGGTACGAGGTTGGGGAAGGGGTGCCCTTACATGTCGGCGTCAGAAGATTCGGGTAGCATGCCCGCGTTGTGAAATCGTCCACACTGAGTGCGCCAATATGAGTGGAGTCTGGACCTCAAGTTGACCTGGACTTCGCCGTGACGAAATCAAGAGTAGATAGCCTGTCCTTACCTCTTGAGATAGCATCTTCCAGCAGGCCAGTGTCTTGAAGTTCTATCCTGGTTCTAGCCATTCCTTCGCAGTGTTACTGGTGAGAGTTGAACGTTGAAGAGTGAAAGCCTTCAGAAAGGCAACTTCAAGTTGAATAACGTGATCATGTATTCCTTCCACCACCACCACCACCTTCCCCATGCAATCCCCATGGGCCATCGCGCCAGTCATGGAATGCAGGATCAACATAGGTACCATGACAGCACCTATTCATAGACGTCGCGAGAGCGGTAGAGTCTCACTCGCGGCAGGGCCACCCCATATCCCGGTGAAAACATACCTTTTGGAAAACTCTCATGACGGAAAGTCCTATGGATCCTGGTTCGCATCATTTTGCCTTCCTCAAGTTATTCTAGGCTTACCTAAAATTTATTCGTGGAACATAGAATACTTGCTTATGATCTTTGAGATGTGGAGCGGTACCGCGTTTGATAACCCTGGTATTGGTAGCACAACCTTACAGCATCGACGGTGAAGTGGTCTCAAATGTCTGAATTTCTTGCTAACTCATCTTCTAAGCAAGGATTTTAGGCTACCTTGAGAGGCCAGAGGAGGCGAGCATGGCTGGATAAAAATAGGTGAGGAGTTAGCTGCATTTGAAGTTTAAAATTCAACGTAATATCCCTTCCTGGTGCCAAGCCTTCTAGACGGTTGCTATGCGTCCACTAGGTGGCTCGGACCGACCGCTGATTTCCCTTGATCTGTGATTAGCTTCTCCAACTATTTTACTCAAGTACCGCGACCATACAGCGGCCATTGTGCTTTCTCATAAAGTTTCCTTTCCTCGTTTCTTTCCCCTCGTCGGCTTTCCTTTGGGAACAGCAACCCACTCTCTTTCATATTTTAACATTCTTTCGGGTTCAAGAACAAATCAAGGCTAGTTCCACAAAATTCGCGGAAATGTACGCTGGAATATCAACTTTGAAGATACTACTCGGCGCTGGTGCCTCACTATGGCTCAACGTCCCAAGCGTGAACGCACATTTGGTGGCATGGCATAAGGGAATGTACTGTCTTGATGTGAGTCTTGCCAAAAGTTTTCTTTTGTCTGTAAAATTGATTCAAACCCCGTTAATGCTTAGGGTGTTCAAGCCGGCGTTGTCGACTTCAACTCGGCTGCCGCTGTTACTCCTCTTTATCAACTCACCAAGAGTGACTGGTGGTGTGAGTCTCTCTCTCTCTTTGATTTTCACCCACTCATTTTCTTCCCTTTCAAGTCCACCATATCAACGGCGTGCGAACTCCTTCAGGTCGTATACACTTTTTGATCTGATTCTTACCCCTCAATATACAGTGCGACAATTTCCCCCCAGCGGATGGGGATTACATCGACCTGTACGTTTTTTGCCGCTTACTTCTCATTACGACTATTCTCAGCAACATTTCCCCTGTATCCAGCCCAGCTGGTGGTTCGTTTCCCGTCGAAATCGCCTCCAACCGCGCCAAAACATCACTTTCCTACAACGGAAGTGAAACCTCTGATTGGCCCGACGGCAACACCTATCCCGAAGACTATGTAAGTAATATGTTGTTCCTTTTGTAATACTGACCTGTATGATGCTTAGAACGTCCCAACGTGCATTACTTCGCCGAACAGTATGTCCCTTTCCACTTATCGCAGCGGTCAATACATATGCTTATTTTGTCTTATAGTGCACACGCAAAACCAATCAATGGCAGCTGGCACCGTGTTCGCCATTTCATACACTGTACGTGATATTATCCGCCTCATATTCCCATCACCTAAACCGTTTCCGTTTCAATTAGTCCGACATCCACCAAGTAACCGCTGAAAATTTGGTCGTCTTTTCTGTGCGATACAAGTATGTATTTACATCTTTTTCTCTGCGGTGGTTCTCAATGAATCTCTCGGCAGCACTCCATGGAAGCGCATTACATCGTATGACGTACCTGATGCTATGCCCGCCTGTCCGGCTGGTGGATGTATTTGTGCTGTCAGTATCTTCGCCCGACTTACACTAATTGAAAGACCGCTCATATTCTTTCGATTATTTTATAGTGGGGTTGGGTTCCGAATGGGTAAGCTTCCATCCCCTTTCCCTCCAATCCTTGATTAGCCCCTTCTTACAGCTGCGGCCAACCAAACATCTATCACATGCCCTACAAATGTCGTGTGACTGGCGCCACCTCCACCACCCCACTTGCAGCCGCAAAGCCACCTGTATGGTGCGAAGGCAACCAGACTGCGTGCACAGAAGGCGCGAAACAGATGGTCTATTGGAACCAAAACGATGGTAATAATATTGAAGTTGATGGTTATGATTTGGAGGGTAGCCATAAGAGTCCCACGTACAATATGAAGCTTGGGTTTCAGGATGGTGAGTCAGGTCGCTCGAACCGAGAACATCATAGTTAATGAACGTGTTGGCGTGTAGGAGCGCAGAACGACATTTTTGTTGGGGCAGCATCGTCCCCCGCTTCAACTGCGCCTCAAACCACTCCAAGCAACTCTGGCAGTGGAAAGGTTCTAATCTCTGGAAAGGACTCCGGCTCCATTCCTGGCAAAGTTACCCCTTCTTCCAATCCCCTACCATCTGGTGGTAATTTTACTACCCATGGCAACTACACGCCTACTGGCTCTCCTCCTTCCTCCCGCTCCTCGTCCTCTAGCCTCGCATCCCCCTCGACGACGACAGCTGGTAGACCCAATAAGGCGCCCTCGTGTAGCAAGAAGAGAAAACCACGCCCAAATCATTATCAACATCGCCAAAATCGTCGTAAGGCGGATGGGGGTCGGGACTGGTAGTCATCTCCCCATTTGTTTGCCCCAACCAATACGCAAATTTCCCCATGCAGCAAACCAGCCTTGAAGGTTGGTTTGACCATGACTGCGTCCCCTTTCTGCCGTTGGGTGCGATGCGGAAGGAACTTGATGTTCCCATCGATTTTTGAAGCTCCTCTCTTTCGTGTCGTTGATCGCCGTCTTGTTTTCATTCGTGTTCGTTTCGGTCAAGTTTATTCCCCGTCATGACACCCATCTCCCTAGATACATAGACCCCTTTTCATTCTGCCTTGACTAGAAACTAAACTTGTACTCATACATTTGCTTTCGGTTTGCTTTCGGTTGTTGCTGTGCACCCTTGTCATTGTTTAAATTGAAGTCATACAGACTCATACAGAATCACATTGGATTGATAGAAAAAAGGAGACCCTGTTACATAACGACTGCACATCAGCTACTTAGGCGCCGGGCATGTAAGTATCTTATTAAAACCGTCCTCCCCCCATTCCATGCCGCTGATTTGGTCGGTATGGAAGATCCAAGTCGTATGCTACGCCGTGCGGGCAATCTCCTCACGAGCAACGGCCAACCAGTAAAAGAGCTCGATGTCGACTCCGACGTGCCCAGGCTTCCGGGATCACCGCCACCCCGAAGTCACAAACTAGGACTAGGCGCCTCCATTAAACGACGGCTGCAGGAGGTTGTTGGGGGATCTACCGCGCGGTCACGATCTGTTGGCGGTCTTGGGCGTTCACCACGAACGCCGGCGCCTTCGACCGATACTGGGAACGGAGAGGTTGGCAGAAGTCATGCGCGCTCATTTTCCGATATACCCACTGCCCAGGCGCCCATTTTTGACCGTCCGACACCTAGTACTGCCCAGGCTCCCGCCCTTTCCAATAAGCGCCATTCTGTGGGCGCGCAACCGTCAAGTGTCCCAGAGGTGTCTAACTTGAGTGGGGAGCAGGAAGTTACGTCTCCCGTGTCAGAGCAGCAGCCTACCGCGTCCTCGTCCGCTTCTCAGCTGGAAGATGTGTTGGTTCCGCAGTTGTTGCAGCAGGGCACACCCATGACCAAGGTGTCCGCGAAGAAGCACAAAAAGTTTGTGTTTCGCTTAGACGCGGATTTGGGGCAGATCGTGTGGGAGTCTGTGTCGAAGCAGCAGAAGATTAGTGAGTTGGCTTTTGTTTTTATTCCATTCTTATAGGACGCGGTTTGGTACTTATCGACCTATCTTTACTTCTAGTACCGATTGAGAATATCAAGGAAATTCGGACGGGGTCGGACGCGCGGTATTATAGGCAGCAATTCCAGCTCGCACAGGAATATGAAGATCGGTGGCTTACGATTGTCTATATCCTTGATGGCGCGTATAAGACGCTACATCTCATCGTGGCAACCAAGGACGTGTTCCAGATATGGAATAAGACTTTGCGCGAGTTACATGCAATTCGGCAGGAGCTCATGCGCGGAATTGGGAATATTGAAGTGAGGGAAGCTTTGTGGGAGAGACAGCATTGGAAGGGGGCGGGCGAGGAGAGGGATCAGAAGCTGACGTTTGAAGAGGTTGTTAGGCTTTGTAGGAGGCTGAACATCCATTCGAACCAGGAAGATCTGTTTAGACTTTTCACTGTGAGTGTCAAGTTCTTTCCCAGTTACATCGGATAATGATGTCCTTGTTGGTTAGCGGGCAGACACGCAGCAACGCGGATTTCTGGACTTTGATGATTTCCGGAGGTTTGTCAAGCTGCTCAAGGGAAGACCGGAAATTGATCGGTTGTATAAGAAACTCAAGGTGGATAGTGGGGGTGTTTTTGTTTTCGCAACGTTCGAAAAGTTCATGCGGGACAAGCAGAAGGTGTGCTTGCTCTTTTTAAACCTCTTGAAGGAGGTTGTCTAACAACATGTAGTCCACACTCAGTCAAGACGAGCTCCAGGCCGTCTTTGACAAGTATACCAAGAATACCGACTCAGCAACAACCATGAATGTCGACTCGTTCACCTCCTTCCTCCTATCCCCGGACAACTGCGCTTTTTCGGATCAGCATTCCAAGGTCTTCCATGACATGACGCGCCCTCTATCAGAGTACTTTATCTCCTCATCTCACAACACCTACCTAGTCGGACATCAGCTGATCGGCGATAGCACGATTGAAGGCTACATCCGAGCCCTTTTGCACAGTTGCAGGAGTGTAGAACGTCAGTCTTTTTGTTGGATCGTCAAATATCGTGTTCTGACTGGCCCATATGTTAGTGGACATCTTCGACGGCGACCATGAGCCTATGATCTTCCATGGCAAGACACTCACCACCAAGGTGTCCCTCCGGGAAGTTTGCCAGGTGATCAAGAAATATGGGTTTGTCGCCTCGCCTTATCCAATCATTCTGTCCGCGGAAGTTCACTGCTCGGTGGCCCAGCAAGATATGATTGCTGCGATCATGATCGAGGTGTTTGAGGACACTTTGATTCAGGAACCACTAGAGGAGCTGGCGGAGGGGCGGAGGATTGAGGTGCTTCCGAGCCCCGAACAGTTGAAGGGGAAGATATTATTGAAGGTAGGCATTAATACCACGTCTGGCAATTGGAAACTAAAGTTGATTCTCGCATTAGACGAAGAACCTCTTGCTTCAAGGGCCAGATCCTGTTGTGGGCGGTGATGTCTTTTTCTCTGATGTTTCTGCGTCTTCAACATCAGATTCGGAGGCTTGGGTAGACGCAACGCAGGACCCTTCGGCGGTATTTAATGGACGCAAACGGAGGAGTGAATCGGACAGTGTCAAAGGTTGGATTACTCTTACCAAAATAACTGGCTGTACTGACACCTGACGGCAGATCAGCTCCGCAAAGCTCGAAGTACCGTTTTGAAGCGGGTTCAAAGTGTGGGCAAAGCGTCTTCATCGTCCGCCTCTTCGTCCACCACCCCACGACGAGCACGTTCCCCAGCACCATCATCCCCTCATCTTCCCGCAATCCCCATTTCTCCCGTTCCGATCGAGACTACTTTGAAACCCCCAAACACAATTTCCGCCAGACGCCCATCTGATACATCTGAACTTTCCCGACCGAAACCCAAAATGTCGCCAGCACTTGTGGCATTGCTGGTATACACTGTCGGTGTCAAATGTCGCGGAATTAACAAGAAGGAGGAGTATGCCCCAGTGCATATGTTCTCACTGTCTGAGAACGCGGCGAACAAGATGCTGAAGTTTGGGATGATGGACTTGGTGAAGCACACGCGAACGCATATGGTCAGGATCTACCCCAAGGGCACGAGAGTGAGTTCGACGAACTATGAGCCTCATCGATTCTGGTGTGCTGGTGCCCAGCTTGTTGCGATGAATTGGCAAACGTTTGGTATGCTCCCCTCGGTTTAGCTCTTGATGTGACATATTGATGACTTCGTCAAGATTTGGGATATATGATTAATCACGCCATGTTCCAGCGGAACGGACGATCTGGATTTGTGTTGAAGCCTCTTGCGCTTCGTATAGGATCCAAGGACCTTCTTTCAAAGCGCACACAACACCGCTTCGACGTCACTATTATCTCTGCACAACAGCTACCCAGGCCAAAAAACGCCTCAGGGCACGAGATTATGGACAAGTCTGTTATCGATCCATATGTCCAGGTGACGATACACGTCCCTGACTGGCCTTGGGCGGCTCCCGTTCACGGTAGTGCGCGAAAACCGATTCCTGGGGAACTGGCTTCTCCTTCTCAGATGACAACTGGAGCTGGGGGTTTAGGATCCCCATCTACGCCTCGTCGATCGATATCGTGCAGAACGAATGCTGTGAAGAATAATGGGTTTAACCCGGTGTGGGAGGAGAAGTTGAGGATACCGTTTGAGTGTGTGGGTGATATGATGGATTTGGTTTTTGTGAGGTTTGTGGTTAGACGGCAGGAGGATAAGGATCAGGAGGAGCCTCTTGCGGTGTATTGTGCTCCGCTCGGGAGCTTAGAGCATGGTATGTTTTCTTGATATCATCTATCTATATTGCAGGGAGATCTGATCTGGTTGGTCAGGTTATCGACATCTTCCACTGCATGATTCGCAACTGTCCCAGTACCTGTTTTCGACGCTATTCGTCAAGATCAACGTTACTATGGTAGAAGTATGATGTTTACGATGGACGATTGGCTGGTTTGTGTAATGTGAATCAAATGTGAATGTGTATTTGTTGGAGACAAAATGAACCGGGGCGGGGATTTGAACCCCGAGCTGACGCTATGGTATCGCGTGTCAATGTTAGCCATTACACCATGCCCAATTTGTTCGACACTCCGCGATGTGCAAGTCTGAGGCATGAGAGCAAGCACACCTGAAGCATAACAACAACAACAACAACAACCACCCACCGACCTGTGGTAGGTTCAGTGTTGCGTGTTGGAAATAGAGGATGAACTTCTATGTTTTTACAGTCCTTATATACCTATTTACTATGTATCTACCATGTTCTAGTGTTATCCTGTGTTATCTACATACTCGGGATTACTAAGTTAATAGTCCGATATTACTAATTAATTAAGTGTGAGAATGTACTGGCAAATGCCGGATTGTACTATTCCAACACTCCTCTTCAATTCGGCATTTCCAAAGAGCTTTCAAAATAAATCCTAAAAATAGTTCCTTCATGTCTGTGCTGGTCACGTAGCATCAGCACCAGAATATCTGTAGATCATTCCTTAGATCTGCAGTCTTTTGCCTGATAGGCATTCCAAAATATATTTTCCCCATTTCGGCAGGAGCTCCTCCTCAACTGCTTACTTGCTGATAGCCTGGGAAATTCCATAATTCCTTCAATAACATGCATCACCCAGCGATGCAATTGCAAATTGTGATGTTTCCTTTGTCAGTGAATCATTGATATCTTTTCCATCAGCTGTTTTGATGGCTTTGCAGTGTTGTGAGATATGTCCGGTGCATCCACAGTGATAGGATGTGCGATTATCAATTAATCCTTCACGGCGATCCCAACTTGGGCCTCTGCGCCCACCTGGTCCCTTTCCATCATTATTGATGCCATTACTATATAGGGCAATCTCTGTGCCTGACCCTCCTTTTTGTTGTTCCTCCTCGAGCAATGCACTTTTAACATCAGTTGTTGTTAACTCCTCCTCCTTTGATGCAATAAGTGATGTAGCTATGCTTGAATATTCATTGTCCAAATTGAATATGAGGACATCTGTAATGTCTTGATCTGAGAGTGATACTCTGATGGCATTGAGTTTTCTCGCCAGATCTGTGATGCCATTGACATAAGTGGAAATTGATGTGCTCGTGTCATGCTCAAATCCATAGAATTGCCGTTTAAGGTTAATGCGCATGGATCGACTGTTCTTTTCGTAAATATCCTTGAGTGCTTTTCATGCTTCTGGTCCATTTTTAGCATCGCATATGTATGTGTATTGGCTTGGCTCGACAGTAAGCGCAATCAATGTGAATCCTTCCTCGGCTTTAGTCTCCCATGATTTCTCTGCCTCCTTTGTGGATGGTTTTTCTTCTTCTCCAGAAGTCACCTTCCAACATCCCTTCTGCCAAAGCACTATACTGACTGCAAACTTCCAGTCATGATAATTTTCACTATTAAGCTTTGTGATGGTCGCAATTATCTGATCACTTGACATGATGCTATAAATAGCTGCAAGATAAGATAGGGCAGCAAGTGCACAAGTGCAGTAAAAGTGGTGAGTCTCTTTACTCAGGGCCGGGGCCCATAACCTGTTGGAAATAGAGGATGAACTTCTACTATGTACGAGTTTTTACAGTCCTTATATACCTATTTACTATGTATCTACCATGTTCTAGTGTTATCTACATACTCGGGATTACTAAGTTAATAGTCCGATATTACTAATTAATTAAGTGCAAGAATGTACTGGCAAATGCTGGATTGTACTATTCCAACATTGCATTTTGGTGGAGACTTCAAGCTCAGGCACTTGTCTCTTGTCATTAGTCAATCACTCAGTACCACCCTGAATTTTGGGTGAGGTTTTGGCACTCAAACACAACTTTTTTTTACCCATCTCCACCACATCTTTCTTGCCCCATGACCATGTTTCCTTTCACCTCTAATCTTCCTCCTTTTCAACCTCGTGCTCCCCTTTGCACCTCTAGTAATCGCACCCCAAACTGACTTCTCTTCATCTTCCCTTATTGCTGCCATCTTCCCCCACCCACCTCCAGTGCAGCTTGTACTCGCTTTCACCTCAGCCACCAAAAGTCTTCCTGGATTCACCTCCCAGATTCAGTTCGAGAATGAAAACACATTCATCACACATGCATTCATGCCTGACAAACTCTTCACCCAAATCCATTCAATGTCATCCAATTTACTTAACTTGCATTCATCCATATCCGACCCTGTACCCTCCCTAAAATTTGCACACTTCACTTCCACCTCCCTTACAATGGCCTGGTCAACCCAGGGATATCTTACCTGATGCTGTCTTCTTGTTCTTGACAGTCAAGTGTTTGAACACCTGAATATGGAGACTTTACATAATCCTTCTTAGCATGACCACTCTACCTTTCATCACGCCAACCCAATCTGCTGTAGGCTGTCCTCCCTCAGCTTAGTTACACATTTGCTACCTTCATTCACTGATCTGTTGAGGTATACTTTTTAGTTACCTTAGTCTCTTAGTAGACATAGGCAGGTGTCTTATTGTAACATTTGTAACAAGATCCTGACTGGTGTACTTGGTTTTAGACAAGTACAAACAAGCATGCCCTCTTCTCATTGCCCCATGTGTCAGGATCTTGCTCTTGATGCCACGTGAATCCCTCACTTAGTTAAGGATGAAAATTTTGATTAGCTATGAGCTTTGCCCATGGCATCCATCTGCCACGAATTCACACCAAGCAAGGCCAATAGCAACTTGCAAGACCTACATGGAACAAGAGCGATCTTGCAGTTTTCTGTGTCTCGAAGCTCAATGAAGACATCATAAGCTAGCCATTAGAATGCTAGATCTCAGGCCTTCTTTCTACATACACTGATAAATCTGCTGAGTTTTCTTTCTTCAGATTTCCTCGCTGATACGAATTGATCAGTAGGAGATTGATTCAGTCATTTTGCAAGATTCGTCACATTCTTGGGTGATCCTGGTGTGTCCCATACTTTCTTACTTATTCCTTTCTACTTGCCTTTATGCTTTGATTCTTTGTGTTTTGTGCGTGAACCTGGTTCTCTCTCATGGCCTTCAGGTGTTTGCATGCTTGTGTGTTACCTGTCCATGAGTTCAATGTCTTGTTGTTAGGCAATGGCACGGGTTGGGGTAACCCCGCAGGGTTACGGGTTGGGGTATCACCGGGTCAGGGTATGGGTTAGACATTCCGGGGAGCAATACCCGGGGTACCCGTGCTCCTTATCAGGCAATAGGAGTCTGGTGCGGCGGTTGAAATAATCAATCAACTGTACAGTTTCAAAGCCACAGCATTGCAGCTTAATATCTATACCATCCGAAAAAAAAACACACCCTCATAATCTACCAGAATGGTGAAGTCAAAGGACGACACCCAATCTACGAAGTCAAAGGACGACACCCAATCTACGAAGACCACCAAAAGCCGATCGAGCTCAAAGACCATAGCATCATCGCTTGCAGGCAGGGCAAAATCTGGCTTGGCAACCCTGAAACGTAAGGCTACGGAGGTTCTAAGCCCGAAAAAGAAGAAGCTCCGCATCCCTGAGAGTCAGGCGATCGAGGTTGATGACGACGACGAGGTACACAAACATACCTTCTTTCATTCGCGATCTCACGGCCAGTATAGGTACCTGCCCCCAAGAAGGCAACTCGAAAGGCGAGTGTGATCGAGGTTGACGACGACGATGAGACTTTGGAGGTTGCTTCTGAGGATGAGGAAGCTGAGCTCAGTACATTTTTTTCTTTTAACCGATTAGAATTGAACCTTACCTTAGCTTAGAGCGCATGATGAAACAGTGGACCTCTCCCGCGTATGCATTCTACCACCCCATCCCAGACATTGAGTATGTCAGTGGGCGGCGGGCGCACGTCTTCAAGTGTGCCGCAAAGTCTTGTGCATACAAATGTCGGCGCTTCCTCGACGGCCATGACCGCTCATCCACCGGCAACCTCATCAAACACATCAAATCTTGCTGGGGCGATGCGGCATACGAGGCTGCAAAAGACTGTCAACACGCAAATGATGCTCGCAAGAGTGTCGTCAAACCTTTGACAACATCGGGAACAATCACGGCTGCGTTTGATCGAAAAGGCAAGGGTAAAGTCAACTACAGGCATCGTCAGCACACCAAGACTGAAACAAAGTAAGTCAAAGATTTACATACCTTTGCGGATTCAGTTTGACAGTCAATTCCAGGGCGGAAATCGTTTGCTGGGTTTCGGAGAGTGTCCGCCCATTCAAGATTGTCAAAGACCGAGGATTCCTTTCGCTAATGAAGACCGGGAGGCCAGAGTATTATATCCCCTCCGCGTCGACTGTATCAAGGGACGTACGAATTGTTTTCGCCCGAACGCGTGCACGTATTGGGCAGATGCTGCAAGTAAGTTTAATTTAGTCATGTCCAACGTAGAGATGGCTGGAGACTCACCAATTGTGAAGGAATACGCTGGCCAGATCAGCTTCGCCACCGATGCTTGGACCTCGCCCAATCACCTCGCCTACGTTGCCGTCACAGCCCATCTTGAAGTTCGAGGCGAGCCGATTTGTATTGTACTCGATGTCGTAGAACTTCCCGTGGTTAGGCGATACTTGATTCGTCGTCGCTAAAACACTAAAATAACATTTAGTCGCATTCGGGTTTAAACATGGCAGTCGCATTTGGTGAGATTCTAGAGGAATTTGGCATTGAGAACAAGGTGATAGTCAAACGAGCACAAGGAAAGAGCAGCTTACTTAAAGGGCACCACAGATTCTTGGCTTGACTGCGGATAATGCGACAAACATGGACAAGATGAGCAGATACCTTGGTCAACGGATTGCGGCCTATTCGCCTGTGAACCGCACCCGGTGCTTCAATCATGTCCTTAACCTTACGGGCAAGGCATTATTAAGGCAGTTTGATGTTAAGAGCAAACCTGGTGACGGCGATAGCAATGCAGACCAGGCGTTATCGGCTGAAGAACAAGAATTACTCGATCTGGCTGAAGGGATCAATGATGAAGAACTTACGATGGAAGCGGAAACAGGAACTGAAAACGATGACGAGGACATTGCCGCTGTTGAAGACCTGGAGGAACTTGATGAATGGCTTGATGAGGTGTCTAATGAGATGACTGATGACGAACGTCTTGAGCTGGCAGCGAACATTCGGCCTGTGAGCCGAGTGCTTGTCAAGGTAAGTTGCAGTGGTGCATACATACCTTTGCTAACAATGTCTCCAGCTCCGAAAACTGGCTTACGCTCTCGTCAACTCTACCACCCTCCTATTACTGGCATGGAAATCGTGTCTTGAAGAACTGGCATTGCCCATACAAATCATGCCGCGGGATGTGACAACTCGATGGAACTCAACCTACGACATGCTCAGTTTCACGGTGAAGTACAGGAAAGCGATCGAATACGTTACCTCCGACCTCAAGAATGACTTGCGCAAATATGAGCTAACCGATACGGAGTGGCGGATTGCTGGCGAGCTCAAGGAGACGTTGAACGTGAGTTCTTTGTTTACTTCCTTTAGGTCGCACAGTCACGCGACAGAACAAACGATGTTCCTGTTCTGAATTATTGCTTGTATTGACCATGCCTTCACCTTAGATTCTCAAAGACGGCACCCAATACTTTTCGCGTGGTACCCCAAACTTGGCCTATGTCATCCCCGCTATGGACCATATCGACACGGTATTCACCAATGCAATCAAACCCAACAGCGACACTCATCCAGTGATTCGATACGCCCTTCGTCTTGCGAAGAAAACATTGAACAAGTACTACTCTTTGACTGACGAGGCCGAAGTTTATCGGATTGCAATGGGTAAGCTCTTTAAGTCATTGATACATCTTTTCTAATCAATTCTCTACCTCTAGTTCTTCACCCAGAACACAAGCTCGAGTATTTCCGACGTGCGGGGTGGACCTCAGACTGGATTGACACGGCAGAAGCGCTCGTTCGAGACGAGTTTGAACGATCGTACACATCCGCCTCCGGCTCTGATAGTGGTGGCGAATCCGTTGAAGGCGAGGACAAGTTGAATGAGGATGACTCACTGGATGCTCAGGACGATGTACGTTGGAACGATCTTCTTAGCTTTCATTCCCTCATCGTCAACTACAGGAGTCTAAAAACATCTTCGACAATCTCCCTGCCCGGCGAAGCC